AATCAGAAACGGAATCTTGTGGAATCTCTCGGAATCTCGCTTCCATTGCGCTTTCGAAAAAACATTTTAAAAGCACATTGGATGCTTACGATTCCATTTTGGAATCACGCTTCTGTTTTAAAAGATTCAATGTCATAAGTAAATAAAAATATAAGAAACAGTTTTTTATTTTTTTTTAATAGTGAAATAGAGAAAAAAATATACAAATATTAAAACTAATATTACAAATTATATTTATGCATTTAGGATTTATGAAAGATATGTCATATATATTCAAATAGATTGTGTTAATTATTTACGAAATATTAAAAAAAATTAGTATAATAATATCTTATAAACTTGTTTTATGTATATTTTCACGGTTTTAACATAAAATCATTTAAAATTATTATAAATGAATAAATGTTTTATTTTAAATTTGACTCTATTAATTTCTAGTCATATTTGTAATTTTTTTAAATTTAATATGTGTATATATACATATATAAATATACGCTTCCAACACGTTTCTGCTTCCTATTTTTAAAAAAATATCTCGCTTCTACGCTTCTACGCTTCCATACGATTCCGCTTCCGCGTATCCGCTTCCGTTTTCATGTAACATAGGTATTAAGGATTGTCAAAATTAAAATATAATTCTATTTTTAATATTGTGGTTTTTTAATGATGAGACGAATTCGGTGATCATAATTTAGAAAATCGTTTTAAATATATTTATATTTTTCAAAATCGCTTTAAATGATAATGGTTATTATCAAAGTTATTATATACAGAAGTAAATAAAATTTTAATAAATAACCAACATGCCATATATAAAGTTTTCCATATGTTTTACTTTTATTTAGCAAGTCGTTTATTTATTTTCATTAAATGATACTGATTAGTGGTCAAGTTAAATATCATGAATTTTTAAAAAAAAATTTAAATGGTATATCAAATTATGAATGGTAATAAAAAAAGGAATTTTTTAAGAATATACTGAGAATATAATATTTAAGAAAAATAAATATGCTTTGCTAAAAAATTAATAAAATATAAAACAAATAGATTTTGTAAACTTCGTGTATTGAAAAAAAAATGTAGCTGTAAATAATGTAATACGTTTGGTATACAAACATTTTGTAGACAAGATTTGTTTTGTATGAAGACAATAGTATATATATAACCCTATATTAACTTCTTTAAGCTTCATTATATTTTAAGATTTGTATAGTTTATTGTTAAAATTTAATGGGTTAGGTTTGTATACTTAAGAATTTTTGCTTACAACAATATTGTAATTGTAATATAGGATTTTATTATTCGCAAGTTAAGGTAATGGCTTAGAGTATATAAGAGAGGACAATTTTTTATTGTTTTTTATTTAAAAAACAGTAATTAATGATGCAATGTGATTGGTCACAAAGTATTTGCTAATAATTGGTTTATATATCTAGGTAATTTTAACTAATTAAAATTCTGAAAATAAAAAGTAGTGTTGTTTGTAAATATAATAAAAATTTAAGGGTAGATTACAAAATATTTAAAATAAGATTCTGCTTTAATATTAACTAGATTTTGATTCGCGATTTAAAAGCGCAGATATATTTTTATCATTTTGATAAAATTTATTTGAATTAATAATTTAAATACAAAAATTTAAAAGTTGTTCTATTAATATATTTTTTTTGACATCAACATGGAAACATACTCATATTGACTCTGTGAACCAAACCGGTAGCTCCGTATCCATGTGAACGACAAATGACGATTGTTTCCTGGCACTGCGTGCTAAACTATCTGCCCGTAAATTATGCGTTCTTGATATATGTACGATCTCTGAACTATGGAATTTTTCCTTCAGCGTCTTGATATCCTCCAAATAAGTTGCAAAAGCTGGTCATTCTTCTGGTTCTGAAACCATCTTTACCAATTGAGAACAATCTGTTGTAAAAGTAACATGATACTGACGCAAATTTCTCATACTCTCCATTGCCCAAATTAATGCTTCCACCTCAGAGTGTAGAGGGGAAATTCTAGCTCTAACATTTCTTGCTCCCATCATCCCATCAAAGCCTTCAAGCGTACTATACCAGCCTTGGCCAGAAAAACTTTCCTTATCTTTCCATGAACCATCTGTGAAACACCAACACCCTGGTATTGAAGGTATGCTCGCTCCCTCCCCTGGTTGTGTTACCCTCTGGGAATGTATTACATGGGCTTCCGTCCAAAGAGTTTATTCTGTCACCGCAACTGACAGCGTATCATTGGGATCAACATCCAAATTACTAAAAGTCTTACTATTCCGTCCTTTCCAAATATACCACAATATCCAAGCAAATTGATGATCATCCATCTTTAGTCTCACGCGCCAGAATAAATGATCCATATTTGTAAAGAGAGAGCCGGTAGGAAACCTATATGGAATGGAAGGTATCTTCGATAATGCCCAGACTTGACGTGTTGTAGGGCATTCGAAGAACACATGGTTAATTGATTCTTCCTCAGCTCCACATCTGGCACATCACGTTTCACCTTGTATTCTCCGCGCTTTCATTTTTTTCCTGACAACTATACAACCCGATAGCAATTGCCATAGAAAATGTTATATCTCCAGGGTACACCGTACCTTCCAGTAGTATGATTTTAATAGATCCATTTAGGTCCCAAAATTTCAGGTGTTTTTTTCTTGTTTGGGTATACCCATTATAATTAATATCTTGACTTAACCATGTATTTTCCGTTCTTAGTGAAATGCCATCCCTCCCTATCTTCCATTTGAATCCTACCAAGTGGTATACTCTCTATGAGTTTTGCATCTTGGGGATCTATGAGAAACCGAATAGCCTGTATATTCCAACTTCGCGTATTAGTATTGATAAGAGAATCCATTGTGAATTCCGGATAAAGGTTGTTGTTGTTTTTATTTTCTGATCTCGGGCGAGTCGTTGGGATCCATGGATTATTCCATACAAAGATGGATGACCCTGATCTCACCCATTTGATAAGTCATTTGTTAACCAGAGATCTAGTAGAAATCATATACTCCTCCAACCATAGGACGGAGAGTATGATCTGATCGGTTCCAGAGGTGAAGCATTCCTATAGTACTGACCTTTGAAAACACGAGAATACAGAGTATTTGGTTTCTCAATTAGAGACCATAATTGCATGCCAAGCATTGCCGTGTTAAAATCCTCAAGATCTTTAAAACCCAAGTATCCTTCTTCTTTACTGAGACGCATTTTATCCCATGATTTCCAATGCATTCCTCTTGTACTTCCCCCTGGACTCCACCAAAATTGTGCTACTGCACCTGTAAGTTTCTTTGTGGTTGCCTTAGGTAGCCGATAAATTTGGTAAAGCCGTAACCATAGATTTGATGATTACTTATTTTCCTCCCTTAGTGAAAAACTTAAAAGTCCAGCCATTAACCCTATTATTCAATCGTTCCTGCACAAATTCAAACACTTGTATCTTAGATCCTCCCAGACTCTTTGGTAACCCCAGATCCATTCCTCCTATATTTTGTATTCCGAGGATATTCCTTAACTCTTGACAGTGTGTTTCCCCAATCTTATGTCCAAATTGAATTGAAGACTTTTGAAAATTTATCAAGTGACCCAAAACTGCCTTGTATTCCTTAAGGATCCTTAGAATGGTTTGACATTCTTCCGGTTGTGCCTTGCAAAAATATAAACTATCATCTGTAAAAAAACAGATGAGAAATCGATGGACAAGCTCTGGCAAGCTTCATCCCTGTTAATTGTTTTTGTCACTCCGCTTTTTGGATATTGACAATTAAAGTCTCGGTACACATAATGAACAAATAAAGAGATAGAGGATCCCCTTGTCTTAAGCCTCAACGCGGAATAATAAATCCACGAAGATGGCCATTGAGTAAAACCCGATACTGGATTGACGAGATACACTCCATCATAATCTTAATCCAATGAGGATCAAAGCCCATTTTGTGTAGCAGTGACTGAATGAAATCCTATTCCACCCTATCATATGTTTTACTTATGCCCGTTTTAATTACCATAAAATTTTCCTAACAAAATTTGTTAGTTCTTAAACCATGGAACATTTACTGAGCAATAAGAATATTATCTGATATTAGCCTTCTCGCCATAAATGCTGATTGGTTTCCGGAATAAGTCTTGGTAAACAACTTTTCAGCCGCTGACATTTAAAATGTTCTGTTATAATGTTGATATTCACATAGTGTTTTCATATTTGACCACCCATAGTTGAACCGGTGCATCTCCTAATGCTAATTTTATTAATTAAAAATTAATAAAACCCAGTAAATATCCTAAAACTTGCTATTAATCTGCAATATAATATTTGTTGATTTGTTTAAAACCGCATAAAACTGATAATATGTTTTTATAATTAGTTAAATAACTAATCTTTTAATATTAAAGAAAATTGATTTTTTGTAATTTTTTTCATAAACTTTTTCTTGTCATTTGAAAAAAAATGAAACAGTTAAAAAAAACTATTCATATAACAATATTTGTTTCCTTTAGTTATTAATTACCTACGATAAGTTTATAGTTTTACTTATGTTATATCTAAAGATTATTTATTAAGAAATTGAATTGACATATAAATTTTATGGATAAAATGACATAGTAAAAATAATTTTTAATTTTTGTTCGCTGAATAATATTATGCACTAAAATATGATATTAAAATTAAATAAAAAGTATAATTTTCATAAAAATAAAATTATTATTAAACACAAAAGGAAGGAAAATTATCAGTTACCATAATGTAGGAAATATTTAGTTGTTTAGTTAATTAAAATTCTAAAAATAAAATGTGTTATTATCTTATAAATTTGATGAAAACTCAAGGACATAATCCAATTTTTTTTTAAATAAGATCTGCTTTAATAATATAGACAGTATAGATAAACAAAAATCCAAAACAGAGCAAAATTTTCTATTTAGTTATATAAATAGTGTCGTTGACAAAAAAGAAATAATCCATTGTTAGATTTGTTCATTTCTAAGAGTGGAAAAAATAACTAAAGTTAACAATGGATTTGAGCTATTTAGAGAAGAAGAGAGAAAAATAGTCGGCGTTGTGTCCAGAAGACTCGCAATGCTGGTGGTGGACTGAGCTTTGTTTGCCTCTCAAATCGGGAATCACACCATGAGAATCTCTTCACTTGTACACGTGTAAAACCCTTTCCTTTCTTCACCCATTAAACCTATTTTCTTATTATTCAGCTTAGTGGAGAGACAGACGGAATTAAAGGTTCCTTCTTTATTCTTCTCACATCCGATTTTGATGACGATGGGCGTTGATTTACGCTGAATTCGTGATGGGTTTTGGCGTTTTGAGTTGAGAAACCTTAATTTCTGGGGTTTTGTTAATTTCGTTTGCTACAAATCCAGTAATCAAGGGAGAGAGAGATAGTGTGAGAGAGAGAGAGAGAGAGAGAAGAACGTGGTTTTCCGGGTAACCGGAGGTGAGGTTTCAGGCGAGAAGAAATGGATGGAGAAGGGATCTCTGATGAGAGGAAAGTGGAAATCAGAAAAAATAAGAACGGGAGAAAGGTGATTTTCAGTGATAAACCCTTCTCTGAGTTGTCTTCTGCATGTTTGCTTCTTGTTACTGTTGGTTTTGTTTTTAGCTCTTTTGTGGAGATTGTAGTGTCAGATTCTTTGAATCTCTTTCACTCTTAGTTTCTGTTTGTGTATTTTTTTCCTGCATGCAATGCTTTAGCTTTAGGGAAAGATAGAGACTACATCAGAACAAGAATGAGGTATTAGTGAATCAATTTAACTCAAGGAGTGTTTTCTTACCTGTAAATGATCACTACATGGCTAAAGCTCATACCTTGGTTTCTACTTGTAGCTATGTGACTTAGAGAAAAAAGAAAGATATTTACTTGTGAATAGAATTGAGATACTGATTTCTACTGCCTCTTGTTTGTAAAGAGAGTATCTCCTTAGAGAATTAGGGTGATAGATTTTGTGAAAAACGAGTTTGCTGTGACAGGTCAAGAAAAAACTTTATTACCTCTTTAGTCATGCAATGAAAAGTTTGAGAAGAATCGTTTCAAATGTTTAAAGACAATGTTGTTTTGTTCTTTGAGATCCCTCAGATTTTGACAACTATACGTGATTTTAAAAAGAACAAGTCTTTATGGTTAAGTGATTACAGGTTATAGTTGAGAAATCTGCAGCTGAAGGCTTACCTGAAGGATGGATCAAGAAGCTTGTGATATCAAACAGATCAGGCCGTAAAAGAAGAGATCCAGTTTGTACCCTCTACTCTTTGTGTCTTTTCTCCTACAGTCACTTGCTTAATTCATGGAAGATCTTTTATGTCATTTCCTTTTGCAGTTCTTCATTGACCCTCAAAGTGAGTATATCTTCCCATCTTTCAAAGCTGCATCACGCTATGTTGAGACTGGTGATATTGGACATTATGCACGCAAATTCAAGGAAAGCGATACCGAAGATGATGATTCCGGAAATGGCAAGAACGTTGTCAGTTTCTTTCTCCCTTCTTTGGTATTGTTATGTATATAAGCTGAATGGTTGATTTGATTTTTGTGATCCTTTTCCTTCTTTCGGTTTTAGTTTCTTATGGAGCCTGCTGAAGCTTTATTGGAAAAGGAAAAGAACATTGATAATAATGTCAGAGATAGTAAACAGAGAAGTAATTCATCTTCTTCGTGTGAACATTTTGAGAATGGTGAGAAGAAATGCGTTCTTTCTCTTTAGCTTCTGATTTTGTCAAGTTGAGATCATACTTATTCAGTGAGTAACGTTAATAATGTCAAACATTGTATAATACTTGCAGGTAAAACCAACTCCAACTTGAGCATTGTAAACTCACAAGTTCTTGGGGATTTGGGGAAGAAGAAAGATGTGAAAGATCCTATCGAGAACCAGCCCATTGCAAAACGTGTTACGAGGAGCCAAGCTAAAGCAAGTAAGATTGATGAAGAAGTAAATGTAATATCCAGACCGAGAAGTGGAAGTTCACAAAGTCCAGAGAAGAAATCTGTGGCGAAGGAGGAAGATGTAAGAGATTCTACTGAAAACGGGATCCGGAGGAGTAAGGCTATAGTGAAGAATAATGAGTTAACTATACGTGTAGCAAGAAGAGCATCAAAACGATTAGCTGGTATTGAGCTTGAAACTACCCCTGAACTGAATACAAGAGCCAAAGCTCAACGAGTAGTACCTCTTGATGATGATGATGATGATGATGATGATGGCACAGCTGGAAGTGGCAAGCAACCTGTGAATCCTATTGCTGCTACCAGCATCTTGAAAACGATGGATACACCTATAACTAAGGAAGTAACCAAAAGCTATAATACCGAACATTCATCTCCAAAACCAAATCCTGCTGGTTCTACAAGCATGAATCTTGTGAGTGCAGAATTGGAAATGCAGATAGAAAATATCGGTAAACCAGATGGCAGGAACGTCTCTGGAGACAAGAAAAAGACGAAGATGCCACTGATGATGACATCTGAGGCGGAACTGAATCCAGTTTTTCGTCTTGATGGTTACAAGCAAAAGGAAGAAATGTCGCCAGGGTCACCATTATCTCGCAAAACATCTGCAACAAAGCGTGAGAAGGCAGGAGCAGGCAAAAATTTGGGACGGTCGAGTACCAAGGCTACTAAAGTTACCAGTCCAAAAGCAACTGAGGTCTCGCCTTTGAGATCATCATCAAATAAAGGAGAGCATCCACATCCTTCTGGTAAAAGCAATGCCACACAGAAGAGAAATAAACTAAGCAGCAACTCATTTGAATCGTCTGTTGTTAGAGGCACATGCTCAGATGTGATGGAGATGAATAATACCACCAGCTTCTCCTCCCCTTCCTCTGCAGCGTTTGACTTAACTCTTGCAGATCTTTGGAAAGATCCTTGCATTGCCTTTGCTATCAAAACACTGATCGGAGACACCCTTCGTCTTCCCAACAACATTGCAGTAGTCTCTTCTGATCCGAATAGCAATCATGCCAAGCAGAAAGGAGTCACCTTTCTACCAGAGACGCCTCAAAATGCCAACACATACATTGGAGTGTCTAGCGAATCACCAGCGGGTATGGATATCTGGAAAGACCCGTGTATCGACTTTGCTATAAAAACCCTGACAGGCGCAATCCCAATAGGGTCAAATGAACCAGCTGTAAAACCAAAACCTGAAGGGATGACCATGACATCATCAGCAAGACAAGAACAGGAAGGTAGGCCAAGCAGCAGCAGCAGCTGTGATTATGTAGTTCAACAGTGTAGTAACAACATGAAGAACAAGACCATGGGGAAACCTGGGGATCTAAGGTTTTCACAAGCTTTCTCCAAGGACTAGGTTGTTTTGTCTTTTTAGTAGTAGACTAGTAGCAGTAGTAGTTTGATGATGCCAATCTAAGATCACTTTTTGTGGTCATGTTCTGTATATATACAAATATGTATTATAGTTTGATGTATCGACAGAACTTGTAAACTCATAAAGACATGTAATCTTGTTTTTATTTTCTACTAGGTGACCGGCCTGCACCCTGTGTGGGTATATGCAGATTCAAATTATGGTCATAACAATACAAAGTTTTAGAAGTAATAGATTTTATATCATAAGACCACCGTCTGAGGTAAAACATCAAGCACGGAAAAATGTTGGTACGCAATATTTTACATGGAGGAGATGGAACAAAGTAACTTCAGTATCAATAGGTAGTTATTGTGTGTATTTATAATTGCAACATCACAGAAAAATTTGTGTGTTGAAGATTGAATTTTATTTTCCAAATCTGAAATTAATAGTGTGTAGTTTTATAAGTAACATATTTTCTATTATCACTAATTAGAATTGTATTGTATATGTGTTGTAATTCTTAATTTTAGGTGAAAAATATTATTATGCATAAATTTTTCGTAAAATGTATGTAGACAGGTTAAAAGAAATGTTACACATCTCTCTCTCTCTCTCTCTCTCTCTCTCTCTCTCTCTCTCTCTCTCTCTCTCTCTCTCTCTCTCTCTCTCTTTATGATTTTGGGACAATGGAATTTAACTGTACAATATAAAATAATTTAATAGATTTCTAAATTTTATTGAAACAAAATAATATTAAATTTGCATATCACTATTGAAACAAACTGATAAATGATTTGTAGTTAACTACAACCGGTCTTTCGTCTGTGTTATTTATCTGTTAATAGAAAAAACAAACAAATGTAAGAATTTATAAATTTAAATTTTTTTATCGAATAAAAATAGACTAATAAGTTAGTATTGACATCCGTTAGGTGTCTCCTTTATATATACTCTACCTTCCTTTTTTCTTATGTTATTAGGGAGATATTTTCATAACAAATGATGTTTAGGAATATAATTTCATAATAAATAATGAAACAGTTCAAAGAAAGATATTAAAGTTATTGTCATTAAATGATTTAAAATTAATATGTTATAAACTTGTGCAATTAAATCATATTCAAAATAAGGTAAGTTTTTTAAAATGAATTAACAAATTAGAAACATTAAGATAAATTGCATTAAAACAATGTAATAAATATGATTTGAAGTTGCACAAGTAATATGTATTCAAAATAAGGTAGGTCATTAATAAACTAAAAACATTAAGGTAAATTACATTTAAACTATATATATTTAAATATTACATGATATCTAATAAGGATATAATAAATATAAAAAGTAGTTGATATAACTTTTTGATTAATAAATATTACTATATATATATTTAATTTTAATTAAAAAGATCATATAATTGCAAACCAAAAAAATATATATCAATTTTAATTAAAAAGATCATAAAACAAAATCACAATCAGCAAACCAAAGAAATATATATGTATATATAAGCTTATAATTCTAAACAATAATATAAATCTACTAATCAAAAAAAAGAAGGTATTGGCAGCACAAAAAGATGCTATTGAAATGATATAGCTGAGAGATGTTATCAAATAGAGAATTTTTTTTACCAGATTGAGGAACAAAGATGTTATCGGAATGATATATCAAAGAGGTGTACAATCAAATCATATATAGCTTCAGTGGAGAAATCATCATAATAGGATATCTGCATATAAACCAAAAGAAAAATCAGCTCTCATGAAATATAAAAGCTTAATGTTCTAAAATAAGAAGAAAAAAAAAGTTTAGAACATTATTAACATAAAAATTTCAGAATACAAAGTTCAGTGATTTCATTTCTTCTACTGTTAATGTCTTATTTATAGTAAAATGATAGACGTTTCTCAATGATTTAGCTTGCATGATAAACTAAGAAGTAACATATTCTCTAATAAATTCTCAATAAATCTTATACTTTTAAGGTAATATTATTTTTGGAATATCTTGTTGATAAAGCTAAAGGAGAACATCTCGTGAATAGATTGCACCAGAATTTTGGTTTAGGTTTTAAATACATAATTTTATGAGAGAAAATATCTTATCAATTAATTTTGTTTTCAATGCATGATTTTAAGAGTGAAAATATCTTGTCAATTAATTTTGTTTCTCTGACATCTAAAATATTTAATGAGTATGTAATGAATTAAACAGAGAAATGATCGCAAAAGGATGTTCTTTGAATCGAGAAAACACAAAAGGTAAGTATTTAAATGGATTTCCTTTTTAGTAGTGTCGATGGTAAAAATAAATAAAAAAATAAATTCTAAAAAATCAACCAATAGAATCGCTAGAATTCTTCTGAGAAGTGCTCTGTGAGTGACACATGACAAATGTACTTCTCTTTTATTAGGCCATCCACATTAGTGAACTAGGTAAGGGGGGGTTCATAGCTATTTTTTTAATTGTTTTTTTCTTTTTTTCGTTTTCTTTTTAAAAAAAAAAAAAAAAATAAAAAAAATAACAATCCAACCAATCGCGGGCCGCCACGTGTCGTGGGGCCCGCGAAACTGACATGAACCCGGTTCATTGCAGTGAACTCTCATGGGATGGGTTCATAGAGTTTATTATATTTTATTTGTTTTTTCTTGGATATTGGGCCTATGAACCCCTCAAAAGCCCTCAATGGGCATGCCCTTATATAGGGGGATTCCAATGTAACAAAGGAAGCTTCTTTGACTTGTTTACTAGAGATAATTGTGACGTCACCTGAAATGGATAAAGAAGCCCGCCAAAAAGATATTGTCTTTTGCCGCCAAAAATGTATGCACAACATACAGTACATGTAAAAAGTAATATACGGATGAGAAGAAGAGACTAGAGAGAGAGGAAAAGAAGAAGATGGAGATTCGAGTGAAGTGTGGGTGTGGAGAAGACGAGTGTAGCGAGTGGACGATCGTAGAACTCCAAGGCGTCGTCGAGACTCAATCTTCGTTCCAAGGTTCTGTTCAGAGTCTCGAGATCGGTCGTCTCTGTCACTCAGATTCTTCCCAGGTTTTTTCTTTTGATTTAAGTTCCTCTTCTTTTCAATCGGAGATTTGATGATCTCGTCGACGGTTGCAGTACACGTTCACGGTGGGTTACCATGAACTCACGGGCTCTAAGGTGACTCTGAAGAAGCCATTGTTGGTTTTGAAGAAGCTTCAAAAGTGTACGGATGGTTCGTCTCAGAAAGAAACGGAACTGGAAGTTGTCGGGATTATAAGATCAAAGATCTTGTTTAAGACCAGACCCAAGCCTCTCTTTTCCGGTATAAGCTCTTTCTCTTTTCGGTTCTTGATTGCTTTCTGAAACCTTTAGCCTCAAATCTTGCTCTGTCACTTCTTGATTCAGGAACAAGCGGAAAGTGATGCCTCGGGATTGCTTCTTAGTTCTAATGCTTCTTTCCTGTCTTGTAAGCTACAGGAGAGATAAACTGATGTACTCTCTCTGTTCTTTTTTTTCAAGAAACTTGATTACGTTATTGTTGCAGTACAACTTGGTAGTAGTCTCAATCTGAATCACCGCATTAGAAAGGATGTAAAGACAAATATAAAAAGGATACTACTAGCCCTACTTATCATGTGATCTCTGATGCTAACACAAAACAATGCAAGACTCGGGTCTTTTTATCTACAAATGTTCTCACAGAAAACAGTTGGTTTGAGAATTGAGTTTGTGAGCTCCTTTCAAGTCTAGGAAGTTGGGACAGGAACATATCCTGCACGGGCTCTTAATGTTTCGGTTCTTTTGCTTCTCTCCATCACTCCGACAAGCCATTCTATACTCTCTTTGATTCCTCGCCTGCTCAACAAAACATTTAAGTATCCTTTATAGAGCTTGAAGATCCTTGTGCATAGCATAAGTCAGTTTTTTACTTACCCATCATATCCAGAAGCTGCTTCAAACATGTACACCCTTTCGTCTAGTTTCTTTAGATCCAGGTATCGGTCTAGTTCCTCAGCCGAGACAGCATTTGGAAGATCCTGCTCATCGGTTACCAGATTCAAGACTTATCAGTAACAACATCTCTTTGAAAATTAAGCAAACAAAATAAGGCAATGCAGTTTCTTACTTGCTTGTTTGCCAATATCAAAAGAGGTGCTCCTTGCAAATCCTCATGCCGCAGGGCTTTCTCTGGTGTAAAGGCAATTTATATTTGTCTTTAGCTTCACAATGTGATATGTTTAGAGTCAACTTGTATGTGCAAACATACCTAGGGCAGATTTTGAGTCTTCAAAGCGGGATGGGCAAGCTGCGTCGATCAAATATATCAATGCGTGTGCTTCTTCATAATACTTCTCCCAAATCGAACGCAAACCAGGCTGCCATAAGGGAAAAAAGGCATGGTTATTTGTTTACAAGGACAAGCAGTCTTGTCTTAACAAAATGTTGTTTTCCTAGCTCTTCTTCAAGAGATCTCTTACACTTTACACATACAGGCTTTATCAAAAGATAAAACTCTTGAGGTCTCTCTTTGTCTATCTAAATCCATAGGAGGTCGCAGCAGTAACAATGTTGCCATCGTTTAATGTTTGTTGGGGGTCACTAGAGGAATCACGGACCTGATTGCGTGTTTTCTTTTTATATACAGTCAACTAGAGGAACTACGGATCTGGACAAGGCTTTTCGATAAAGACAACTAGCTCAAGATGAGCTATAGTGGCAAGGGGATCAGAGGATTTCATGAAGAAGAGCTATAGCTATAGCTATTGTTCTCGGTGAAAGAGCGGTATGGAGTCGCATGATTAACCACAATCATGTTCGTGCCTGTGATCCTCTAGTGACTCCACCGTCAAACAATGGTTTAATGTTGCTGCTATTTTCGATGGGCTAAGCAGACCAAGAGAGAGCTCTTATTTGATTAGAAAGAAGACCAATTCTTATTTTTTTTTCACAACCAGGATTTGTAAAGAAAGACTAACTGATGCTTTTAATTAGTAAAAAAAATCTATATTGCAAGAAAGGCTCAAACACAGGCATATAATATATAACTGAAAAACTGAAGGGATTGAACGTTTTCAACTTACCTGACCTCCAAGGTCCCAGAAGACGATTTTAGCATTGGCGACTTCAATACGACCGATATTAAGGCCAACAGTAGGAACAATTCGATCATGTGGAAGACCTTCTGAGATTGAGTATATGGTCTTCAGCTTCTCCAAAAAGGTCTGCACAAATCCAAATATTAGCAATGCATATTAGAGATTAGCCTTCTATAATATACCTCAAGGTTCTGGAGGTGTTTGTTTTTTTGTTGAAAGCTAGAAAAATGGAAAACAGTACCGTCTTGCCAGCTTTGTCGATGCCAAGAATGAGGACATGGAACTCAGTCTTGCTGAACATGTAGGTCCACAATCCATGCATAAGAGAAAACATCACTTCCTTTGATCTTTCACCGAACCAAGATAAAAAAAAAATGGAGCATATTATCAGCAACATTCTCGAGAGAGCAATAACATAACTAGGCTTCCTTATCATATAAACACAGAAACCATCTGGATCTAACTCAGAGAATGCACAATGCAATATAAAATAGTTCAAAACACATTTATCCTAGTATTCATAAACCAAGTAACAATCAAATAACAAAGACCAGACACAATCACGAAGAGTTAGATCAGAGTCCAAAACACCAAACTAAACAATAAAAGGTAGATCGCTAAAGGATCGAAGAAGGTGAATCACACTATCACTTAGTCGCATTATCGAAACATGATCAAGACAAGAAGCTCCCGAAAATTGATAAAATCAGCAAAGCAGTTCGAATTTTAAAGCTAGACAAGAAAACTCGAAGATCCTTACATGTGGGAAGAAGATCTGGAGAAGGACAAGGAAAGAAAGATCTGGTTTTGCACTCAAACTCTATGTTGTTGTTGGGTCTTCTTCGATTCGATCGTCCCTCCTCAAAAAAAAAAACTTCTAAACAAGCATTCCAAAAGTACCCTTACTCAACGCGTTTCGATTTCTCCACGTGTCAATAATGGAAATAGAAAGAGAAACACGTGGCGAGATCTGAAGTCCTAGAATAGTCAAAGAAACGGACGGCTTCTGTTTGATTAGGTCAATAGTGCGTCGTCTTCAACACGCCGGCCGGAGTCTTAAAAAAACCTTTGTTTGCGATCGAGAGAGAAAGGAGTTGGTGGAGGCTGAAGAAGAAGAAGATGGCTGATTCAAAAAAGTAAGTGTATTTCTGAATTTGTGCTGCTCGATGGGATCAATTCGCAGTTCATTCTCTTTCCTGTTCTGAAATTCCATCTTAGATACGTTCACTTTGTGGTTTCATGGACAAGAACCTTTGATGTTGCATCCTTTTGTTTCCAACCACCACAATTAACATAGTAAATCTGATAAAAAGTTTAATGTCAGATACTACTACAGTACTGCTTGCTTTTTTTAGGGTCTAGTTTTGGTTTCCGATCATTTGATAACTGCTTCTTTGTACACACTATGTTGTAGTAATCTCTCTTTTTTGAATCAAACTGCCTCCTCTATTATCTATCATTTGGACTCTCCCTTGGATTTTGGAAGTTAGAGATGACCATGCTTCCTTCCTTGCTGATTCAGAACGGTACCTTGCATAAAGCTTAAATGTGCTTACTATGGGATTTTTGTTTGATATCTATAGACATGAAGTTCTACTTTATATGGATTTTTCATATTTCACCAGACTTGTTAACCTCAACAATCTGTGGGTTTCATCGTCTTCAGTTACAGGCGTTTAGATATTTCCTTGTTCTGTAATTAAGGAATGAACTTTGTATAATCTACTTTTGTCTCTGTAAGGCCTGCTGATAATTAGTCTCTCGTGTACAGCATTAAAGATGTTTCTTTTTTTTTTTAGGGGGCGTGTACAATGGGATGAAGCTAATATAGTGGAAATTGAATCTAACAAGCCTGTTAGGCAGAAGATCACTGAACCTAAGACTCCCTACCACCCTATGATTGATGATGACGGTTTGTTTCTTTCTCTTCCTTTGCTTTCTATTTGTACTTTATACACTTTTGAGTTTACATATTGCTTATGTAAACATTACATATATTGTTGATATATGCTTCTCATCATCTGAATATTAGCACACCTAAAGCACGATCGTAAGTGAAATAAATATATGCTTTTAAAAATTGTACTGTACTCACCTAGGAAGTTAAGCAGTTACTACTCCTTTCAAGAAAATCTTGTACTTGCTATTGTTTCGTTGATTTAAAATTCTGTCATTCTAGATTTAAGATTAGCTTGTTGACATAGTTCTGATATTTTTAATTCCATGAAACACAATTCAAATGTGCCTTCTCTTTCATGGTGCTTCCTGATTGATCATACCAGGTTCTCTGTCTCCTAGAGGAAGATCATTTGACCAATGCGTTGATGACATGCAACGTGCAGAAGAACTGAGGAACGTTCTCAACGAGGCAGCAGCTTCGTCCAGTAGAAACACTAGCCAAGGGTCTGGTTCTGGTGGCTGGAGCTCGTCTGAGGAGGATGAAGCAGATCCAATGGATCAAGATGATGAAGGTTGGTCTTCCTCAAAACCAAACAAAATATTAACTTTCATGTTTATATTCTTTTGTTTGATCTCATCTCCATATGTTTCTGTTTTTTTCTAAAAGATACAGATGTGGATGGTGAGAAAAACGCACGGTTCAACGAACTTAGAAGAGTACATTACGATGAGTTTCGGAAGGTGAAAGAAATGAGATCCTCAGGGTCGTTCTATGAAGAAGAAGAGGGAGAAGATGATGGCGCAAAAGGCAGTAAAACAGAGGCAACAACCTCACGTCACACTAAAGGCGTTAACAAAAAGGAATATGCAGCCACGACTGCTTCATCCTCGAGTTGATATCAACCTCTGCTCAATCAAATATGTACTCTCCTTCATGTTTACCTCTCGATTAATCTGGGATTTACACTAATGTTAAGCCTTTTAAAAAGAGAACAACAAAGAAACAGCAAATGACATTCTGAGTTTTTTGTCTTTATATATAGCATTTTAGTGCAATTGCTTAAAATCACTTTGGTTAATCAATGTCATTGTCATACTTTTTGTTTTATCACTTTCTGAAGGTTGTGTTTTCGTTTAAAATTATGTTATGAATGTGTTATTGTCTTTTAATTAAATTTCCGTACCGCTTAATTTTTTTTTCTTTTTTTTTACGTATGACCAGTTTGTTTAAAGTTTTTCACATGAAATGTGAGTGATTTATTTCATCTTACAAAAGAAAAATTATTAATTAATTTTGTACAACAAAAAGATTATTCAATAACTAGTATTGCTGCCCGGCTGCGCACGGAACAATTTACTGTTTTAAAAATAGTATATAAAGCACATAATATTAGAGGTGTCTATATTGAAATAATGCGGTTGTAGAAGTCAAAAAAATATCTGATATCTAATCTATTAAAATAGAGTCATTCTTTTTATCTACTGATACAAGTTGTCATTTAAATTTGGACCCTTTCTAAAATGTTACAAATAATATAAGTTATATAATGGATTGAACCGTATTACTTAAATAAAATCACCACAATTAATGTAAAGAGACGATCTTAATGTAAACTACCTTCAAAATATGACAGGTATCTATGTATATACCGAAAACACATATTTTCTCCTACAAATATGGAATGTTCTAAAAGAATATATTTCATTAAAATATGGAATATGGAAATCTACTAATTATACTTAAAATAAACCAGTGGTTATTTATGGAATATAGTCTTGGGATTACTTTTATTTTTGAACAAATTATATAGTTTGGTTTTTGGGCTTAGTATTAAGAAAAAACTCTAAAAATATTGAATAAACTTTTCACCTTAAAAGATCAAAAAATCAATTATTATTTTCAGACCCAAAAGGTATTTAATATTTTAACAAAACAAAATTATCTATTATTAATTATTTATTTAAATCATGTACTTTAAAACATGTTAATATATTTTTTTATTTTAAATAACAATCACTTTGTTTTGATAAATTTCAATGGTAACTTTTAAATAATTTATTGTTTTATTTTTCTTAAATAATTTACTGACTAAAAATATGTAAAGCAAAACCAAACACCAAATCTAAAAACTAAAATCCAAAACCAAAAGCTGAAAACACATGTTATATTTTTTTGCTTTGTTTATTTACAAAATAAACTATTTCAAATTTTTTTAAAAAAAAATTGTTGTCATCTTTTTAGTTTTGAATTAGATGTTCGATTATTTGAGATTTGATTGTTGGTAATATTAGTTCAAACTAACTCAGCGGGTTTAAAAATTAAAAACCCAAACCTAAAACTGAAAATGAAAAGTGGAAACATAAAAACTAAAAACCAAAATCTAAAAGTAAAAACTGAAACTAAAAACTAATGAAAAATAATCATCACCACAAATTTTGGTGAACTGATTTTATATCAAAATATTCTTTAAACTAAGACAAAACCCAATTATATAAATTTTTAATCATAAAAAATTTTCGCGCTTTCAAGCGCGGGTTAAAATCTAGTATTATTATAAAACTGAGACATGTTTGTAGATTTTGTAGTATTTCAAAAATAAATAGGATATATACTTGTTTTGATTGATCCATTAACTCTTTTAATAATTCATACAGAATATAAAAAATTTAATTTATGTTAATAATAAATTTGAATGTGATGAATCAAGCAAGTTTACTGTTTAAATATTTTTTGCAGAATCATTGGCATTTTTTATGTTATTTTATCTAACATATGTTTCTGAAAAAACACACATTATAAATACACACTAGACCATGACCCGCCCGACCGGATGTTTTGTTTTCTTTTAATTTTTAGGTTTATACTAAATGATGTATGTTTGTAATAGTTACATAACTTTTATTATTCTGAATTTACCTTGAACTATTATTTATATAAAAATATACATAACATGATATGTTTATATTAATCTTTTTATTATATATTATATAAATGTTTCTTTTTGTGATTTTTATTTTAATTATTACTTATAAATAATAAAAATATAATTATATATCTTTGAAAAAAATATCGTTCATTAACTATTTAAAGATATGTAGATAATTAATAAGAAAAAAATCCTAAAAGGTAAATTAATATTGGAATTAATTATTATGTATATGTACTTAGAAAAACAATTTCTATATAATTTATTTATTTAATTACGAAAGGTATATATGAAAATAATTATTTTCATTAATTATTGTTGCCATAATTATTTTTAGTTAAAATTTTATTTTGGAAATGCATTAAATAAAGTGAAAAGACAAAGAATCCGGGTATTTTATATGGATACTTCTCTTTTAATAATATAGATTATAAATAAAATTAACTCAGATTACTTATAGTTTATTGAATTTATAAGATTAAAATTTATTACTTTAGTTTGCTTTTATGAAAAATTGCATAATCAATCTTGCTTGATTTAAAGTAAATTCACCTCTGGATTCAAATATGCAAATTTCTTTATATGTTCAACAAAAGTATTATGGTCGAACTCGATTGCAGTTGTGAATACTTAGAAATAATTGTTTCAACAATGGACACACTAATCAACAAATCAAAATTTGGGAAAGAAAAGTAGTAAAAAGTGGAAAATAAGCAAACCTTTTTTGTCAGCCCAAAATCTGACGATTTTCCCTTTAGTCCTCTTTTACTCAAGTGTAAACTGCACGTGAATGTAGTTATGAGGAGAATAATTTGCAGAAAAATAGAAAGAACCGAGAACAAAACTAAAATTATTGGAGAGAAGAAATAATATGTTGTTTTGCTTCTTTACTAATGGAGAAGATTGAAAACAAAGTAAATTAGATCTAAAATATGTATGAGAAGAAAACAGTTTAAGAACGTGGCCAATTGATTTGTACGTGATATTCAGAGAATATTTAGGATTAAATTGCTGGAAATTAGGGATTGAAAAAAACTTCTTTTAAAATCAGTTGATTTTTTATTTTAATGCATTTTCCACTTGTCAAATTTTAATTTGTTACTTGACTTGTGCTTTAGTATATAAGAGATTATATAAAAAAAAATTATTCTAACTTAGAGTCTTACTTTTTATCCACTATGTTGTTAACCATTTTAATAATAACTTAACAACTCTTATTTGATAATCAACATTAATCAATCAACAATATAACATTTTAAAAAATCAGAAAGAATATTCTTTTCTAAAACAATAATCTTCCATTTGTTATCAAATTTAAATATCTCCATGGAAACATTGTTAGACCCATATATCTAATGATTTGTCTAGACCTATGCGTAACATACGCTGAATACAAAAATAGATAGTATTGTGCAAAGTATCAGAAATCAAACGCCTTTCGATGTTCATACATATGCATAATTACAAGTTTGTTTTATAAAGTCTTCATTAAATCTGTTTTAAGTTGATAACAATATAAATATATACAATTTACTATTTGACCCATCTTTAGGTGTACTCTCTTCTCCTTCCCCACCTCAACAAATGACGTCATAAAATATTAAACCATGAGCTTGCCACGTAGCCATTCCTAAGCGAGGTTAAGTGTTTTCGTTTTAATTGTGGGTTGTTTTTAATATGGACTGGGCTTTATTAGGTTCTGCAGAAAATTGAGTATTCAGCCCAATAGCAATATATAGGCTTCTTAGCGAGAGATGATATTGGGAACTTAGGGTTTCTTCGTCTTCCCTAATCTATCATTAGATCAAACAACTATGGATATTCCGAAAGTCCAAAGAGACAAATCGTCATCTAGGGACTCGGACTTACACGTTGTTACACTCATTTCGTGTTCATTCCTTTCGTCCCAGACGTTTCGAAACCACATTTCATCTCCTTTAAGATACATCTTAACTCCACTGAGGCTCATCACCGCTTTCAATGTTACTTTTCTCTGCTCAAGGCGGTGATTGCAGACCTATAAATAGGTAATCCTTTATCCTTAGAATATCATCGTCACAGTCCCACAAGAATGGAAACTTCACCTTTTGTTCTTCGTGATCTCAAGGCGGGCGATGTTCTTCCACGGTGAAGATCCGATTGCTGAGATTGTGGGAGGCTGAAATGCCAAGTGTGGTGGTGGGGATTTGATGGGGGTTGACATGCTCCTCCTTGATATTCAGGTTAGTTTGATCTTAAATCTCAAAATCATAGAGATTTAACAATTCCGGCGACAAGTCGATAACTTTTTATTCATCCCATATTCAAACTTTTTAATCTGTTCTTTGATTAATATCTTTGAATTTTTTTTTCAACATTTGTAGTTCCTCGGATCTTAAATCCCTTAATCATATTGTTTTTAACAATTCCAACTACCAAGTGTTAAACTTTTTATTCATCTCATAATCTTCAGCGAGATCATCTTTTCATACATTTTTTTACTATGTTTTTTCCACAATTGTTTCAGGTTACTTTCATGCCAGCCACCGTTATTGTTCACCGGCTAACTGCTTTCAGTTTCAGGCAACAAAATTTGATGCATTAACGGAACCGGTTTCTCCGGAAAAGCGATTCAAGTTCTGCCCTTGCCAACACCAACACACAACTTCCAGGTACATCCTCCCATTATCTGTTCATCTCATACTTATATTTGTAACCGGTAAATAATAAAGCGGATGACGCTTCTGCTTGAAGCTCCGACTCTGCAATGCCAAAAGCTCAAGCTCAGGCGGCACCAAAATCACGGATTGAGACTCACCGGAGATGAAACCCTGGAGACGTCACCGGAATAATATATATATACATAATATATGCATAGATACTTTAGAAAGCCCGTATTCTCTAAACATAAAATTCAAGATTAGTTTCGATGTTTTGGATTTGTTCTTCAAGATGTTTAATGTCTCAATTTGAGCTTTTATTTTGTGTGTATGTTTTGTTTTGCAGGTTAAAAGCACGGTTCCGTTTAGCAAACCACTCACAGTAGATCCTGAGAATCCTCCACCAGAGAAAGACTGCAATGAGTATTTCAAGAATCTGAAAGATGGAATCACTGGCAAAGAAGCTTTGGAACATAACACTGTTTCTGTTTAAAAACCAGGTCTCTTTCGGTTTCTGTTTTCTTTTTAAGTACAAACAACACAAATATTGTATATTCCATATTTGGTACATTGAAGAGTGGATTATACGAAGCTTATTCAACGACAACGATAAAG